GCAGGGTTGAAGAGATTTAGTCCACAACTATGTTTCCCACACAGAAGAACAACTCTGCTCCTGTTGGCTACTGAAAGTTCCTGCAGTCCTGTTTCACCAATGATGGCAGATCAGCTTTAAAGAGCCCCTCAAAGCAGCTGGGTGTGGTGGCAGGAGGATCTCTATGAGTTCTAGGCCAGCCTGGTCTACAAAAATAAGTCTGGGACAGCCAAGGATACACAGAAAAATCCTGTCTCAAAAAACCAGAAAAAAAAAGAGAGCCCCTCAAACATTGTGGGCTAGCTGTCCTGTCTGCTTCCATATGTGGAAAAGCAGGAGTGAGGAGTAGGAAAGGTTGGGACTGAGGGCTGGCACTTCTGCCTCCTCTTAGACCTTGGGGGCTCTGAGGCCTGACTCAGCTCCTTGCACTAATTCTCCAGGAAATCAGGCAATTAGAGCCTCTTTGCACTCTCAGCTGTCAGCAACAGGGAAAAGGGATCAATCAGCAAAATTTCAAACTAGGGTGCTAATGAAGGTATTGCGCAATCCTTGAATTTTCTAGGTTCACATTTTGAATTTTCCAGTTATAAGGAAGAACATTAGGGCTCACCCTCCGAACATCCTGTGCTGTGTTTAGACACAGGTTTATCTTTGTGGAGTCCTTTGAAACAGAGGCAATAGCCCAGTGCTATGAAGCAATCTCTGGGAAACTAGGCTGGGCCCGATTACAGTAAGTCTGAACTGGGACTACCTCGGGGGCATCCAGGCTTTCCAGCGGTGAGGCAACGCGCTGTGGTCAATCCGTGTTTACTCCCCGTGGGGTGAGACTCAGCACCATCCAAACCACCACGGTTCTCTCCAACACTCGGAGTCCTTTAGAATTCTCCTCCAGAAGGGTGCTCTTAGCTTCTTCATGTTTATTCAGCACCTGCCTAAGGAACCACGAGGAGAGTCTGGATGACAGTGAGATGAGAGAGACAGCGCTGTTCTCGCACAATTACATTCCACAGACATTGTGTGAGGAAAAAAAGGAACAATAAAGGAAGTCGTGCCTGCTCTCACCTATCACACTCCGTCTTCCGAGCCTCAAAGAGGCAGAGGTGGTGGATGACTTGGAGGAAACAGTGTCTTCCGGACACAGAAGGGCAGTTGCAAAGGTGAACTCACAGCATTGTGACAGAATGGGTTAGACCCGTGCAAGCTCAAGGCAGACTAAATCCTGGTGTTGAAGGGGTGAGGTAGGCACGAATAGCTTCCCTAGCTGAGAAATTATTGGCATTTGATCGCTGCTGGAGAGGAAAGTTCCTTTAGGGATATGACCCCTTGCTGACCACACTCCAGGGCAGGCCCCGTCCCTAAGAATTGTTGGCTCATACAAACTGGACTTGATGAGGAAAAAGAAAGAAAGAAAGAAAGAAAGAAAGAAAGAAAGAAAGAAAGAAAGAAAGAAAGAAAGAAAG